TTGAATGTTTCCGGGATAGGGCCGAACATCGACGATGCACTCCAGGTTCTGTCCACATGGACCGAGAGCTATGGCATGAGCCCCCGTTGCTATGCAGACACGGAAGAACATGATTTCTGGGCCACATGTCGTGACATTTCACAGGAGCTTTACCTGAACTCTTACACACGCAATTGCTTTGTAGGATCGGAAGGTTTAGGTTCCGACATGGAAGATCAGGAACTCATCCCCGATGAAGAGATGGCTGAACTACTTAGGGAGCAAGACAATGGGGCCTCAGTGTTCACCCCTGAAGAGAGAGAGCAACTCATCCTCGAGCAACTGTCCTTCCCAGGTACTCCGGCATCAGAGGAAGAACGCAGAGCAGCTTGGCGTTCGCTCCCACAGCGCACGAGGGTTGCTATCAGGCGACTCCATAGGGCATTCGGTCATCTCCCAGGTAAAGTCCTGGAGCAGGTCCTTAGGCAGAGCAAGGCATCTAAGGAGTTCATCCTAGCTGCCCACCTTCACAGATGTAAGGCTTGCCTAGACACTGCACCAGTTCCGCGACATCATCCAGTCTCAGGGGAATCGGTGTTTCCGAAAGAGTTCAATCACACGCTTGGCATAGATTGCATGGAAGTAAAGGATGTCGATGGTACCCGCTACACTGCAGTCAACATGGTCGACATGGGAACCAGCTTCCAGCAAGTAGCCCTGATAAAGTCAGGAGGTGGCAATCCCAGCGCACGGCAATGTTTGCAGGTCTTCATGGAGCGATGGGTATCGTGGGCAGGACATCCACAACATGTAGTGGTTGATAGGGGAACGCATTTCAAGGGAGAGTTTGCAAGTTACATGGGGCAACATGGGATTCATCTCCGAAATGCACCCTTAGAATCCCCGCAAACCATAGGAAAGGTCGAAAGACATGGTGGTTTGCTCAAGGCACTGGTAAGAAAAACAGTGCAGGAGATTCAGCCCTCGACTTGGGAGGACATGGTCATGGTGGTCAGTGAGTGTGTGACTACAAAGAATGACCTGTCCAGACATCAAGGTTTCAGCCCATCACAGCATGTGCTAGGCAAGCGACCTAGGACACCAGGTTCAGTCATGGATGAAGATGAGAGCATGGGAACTTTGTTGGCCCGTTTCGATGAGACCACTCCTTTCTACTCCCGACATAGAACCCGGGAAGAAGCCCGCAAAGCCTTCGTGCACTTGGACTCGTCCAGGAAGGTTGCTCGTGCGTTGCAAAGGAACGCAGCTCCCATGGACATGGAGTACCAGGTGGGCGATTTAGTCATTTATCGAAGGGACAATTTGCCCGGTTCAACTTCCACTGTGTGGTCAACTGCAAGCCGCGTGATAGGACGCGAGGCGGAGAATGCGTACTGGTTGCTGCACGAGGGTGTGCCTGTGTTAGTCAATGCCAGGAAGATGAGGCCTGCGGATGAGGTCGAAGTAGCTGCACGTCGAGTTCTGACAGGAGAACCCGTTTTACCAGGTTCCATTGTTCACGGTCCAGAGCAACGTTATCTCGACGAAAGAGAAAAGGATCCAGTAACAGCGCCTTCTACCCCCAGACCGAACACTGGCATAGCGTCGGCTCCCTCTACTCCCATGAGAGTCGCAGCGGCCGAGAGTCCCGCCATCACAAGCAAGGAGATTTCGCCCAGTGATAAGACGGGCAGGGAAAGAACTCGTTCCCCGCCCAGACAAAGCTCCAGTGCGCTGATGGCTGAGGCACAGGACACCGATCCTGTAGAAGCAAAGGCAAGCGAGCTCCTGGAAGCAATGGCCTTCGAGACGAGTCACTGTCTCGAGCTGCTCAGGTTGTGCAAGGAACACAAACCGAAGAAGACGAAAAGAGCGATGTTCCAAGACGCAACAGATGATGAGCTTGCCGCTTGTTTCGGTGTTTATAGGCACGGTGGTTTTGTTGGGATCTCTAATCCTACTAAGCAACGCCCGTGTTTTGTGACTTACTTGAACCGCTTCCTGAGGCACCACTGTGAGAAGGCAGGCTACACCGAGTTCACTTGGAATGGGATCCAAGTAAGCGAATCGCGGGCAAGTTTGCACAAAGACAACTCCAATTTGAAGGGTCGCTCAATTTCCTGAGGGGAACACAGTGATTGACGTTTGTGGCAACCTTGTTCCCGGAACTCTACACACCACTCGAGGCAAAGTCCTTCGTTTTGATCCAAAGAAACTAACCCCATGAAGGGCAGAGGTTCAGCATCATTGGGTTCACTATGAATCACTTGGGAAAGTTGCGCGCAGATGAACATCAGATGATGGAAGACTTGGAGTTCCCACAACCGCGTATTCCAACACCCCAAGTAGAGCAGCCCCGTCAGGAGGAACCTGAGCGAGCGGACGACATGCACTCCTCAGACGACGAGGAAGTTGGAACGAGTTTCCTAGCCTCACTTTTGGACTACCGCAACAGCCCGGCCGAGGTGCAGTTGGGGTTGGACGAGGCCATGCTCGCAGAGTGGGCCAAGTATCAGGAATTTCACGCTGTGATACCTTGCTCAAAGAAGCAAGTGCAGGAGTTGCTTAGCCAAGGACACATCTGCGTGCCCACCAAGTGGGTGCTCACCGACAAACATGAACATTTGAAGGGCACCCCCGGCTATCGTCCCAAATACAAAGCTAGGCTAGTCGCATGCGGGAATTTCGAGCACATCTCCACAGGAGAGGACATTCGTGCAGATTCTCCGACAGCCGAGCCTGAAGCACTGGCTTTCATTTGTTCCTGGGCATCCTCACTCGGTTTGCGAATCAAGGCAGCCGACATCACGAACGCCTACTTTCAGGGTAAGCCGCTCGAGAGATTGCTGATCCTCAAGGCTCCTAGCAACCCCAAGGGCGTTCCGGACAAGGAGATCCAGGAATCCGGCTACATGATTGCCCGTGTCCCAGTGTATGGAACGACCGACGCCGGCCGAAACCTCTACCTTCGCATAGTCGAAGAGACAAAGTGCGTCGGACTGAAGTCATCCCAGATCATGTCCGCGCTGTACTACGCGCACGACACAAGCGGCCGGCTGTGCGCTATGCTGTGCACTCACGTGGACGACTTCTTCTGGGCAGCGTTCGGCGAGGGCGAGCTGAAGATCCAGCAGTTGCTGGACCACTTCAAAATCGGGAGGATCGAAGAGGGTAGCTTCAGGTTCTGTGGCAGAGAATACGCTCAGCACCCCGATGGCACCATCGAGATCAACTCAAGGGACAACACGCGTGCCATCACTCCCCTCGAGATGCCCAAGGGTGCAAAGTTGACGACACCTGTCACACAAGGACAGAGGACGGCGCTTCGGTCCGTCATAGGTTCACTCGCGTGGGTGGCCCGGGCAACAAGGCCCGACCTCGCGTACCGCGTCAACGCGTTGCAGCAGCGAGTGACAATCGCGACCATCGACACGATGAGAGAGGCCAACCGTGTTGTCGCACTCGCCTTGGGTGACGCAGAGCGCAGCATCGTGTATCGCGCCAAGATACTGCCGTGGAGCAGTGGCCCCCTCGCAGTAGTCACATTTTGTGACGCCTCGTTTGCTGCCGAGGCTGGGTACAAGTCCCAGAGAGGGAGGTTGCACTACCTCACTGACGCGGAAACAGCACGCGACGTGAACGCACCCAAGCACAAGCTTCACCTGGTCGCATTCGGTAGCTCTACGATGAAGCGAGTCTGCCGCGCGACACTACAGTGTGAAGCGTACAGCCTGCAGCATGCCACCGAGCACGGAGACAGGATCCGTGCGACACTTCTTGAGTTGCAAGGCAAACTGCCGTCACTGCATGACTGGAGCGAAGTAGCGCCGAGAAAGATGCTACACCTGCAGTACTCCGACTGCAGATCGCTCACAGATCATTTGCTGTCGTCGGTACCCAGACCAGTGGAAGACAAGCGTCTTGCTATCGAAATGACAGCATTACGCCAAGCACTGTGGGTAGACGAGACACCGACGAGCGAAGCCTTCGCACCATTCGGTGACATCCTGCGATGGATTCCAACCCACCTTCAGTTGGCTGATTGCTTGACCAAGAGCATGAAGCCCAAGCTTCTGAACGACGCCTTGGAGAGCAACGAGGTCGTTGTGAAAGAAGAAGCTCCAGCTGAGTGACAAGTTTCACTTCTCTTGAGGCGCACTCATCCACTCGTTGATAAGACGGGTGTGAGATTTTCCTGTACACAAGCGCCGAGTTGGATTTCGTGTAGTGCAGAAGCTGTTAGACGAACACTTGTATAGGCATGAGCAAGCATGCAAACGTCAAATAGCAGTCTTGAGACAAGTTCCTGCTTGACAGGCGCCTTGGGCTCAATCGGAAAAAGCAAGCTACGTAGTCTAGTCACTGTGACTCCGGCCCCAGTACCCCGCTTCTGAAAACCCTAAACCCTAAACCCTAAACCCTAAACCCTAAACCCTAAACCCGAAGCCCCTCTCAACCTCAACTTAGGTCTCAATATGCGGCGCCTTCGTCAAGAGATGGCCTGCAAGCTCTCTAACACTATATCCCCCAAATCCAAATCCTAATCCCTAAGCCCTAAAGCCTTGTGAACCCTAAGTCTGCTAGAGCGTCAATCCTTAACCTGGAAGCTTTAGGCGTAGGCCTGGTTAGGGTTTGTGGTGCCGGTTTGCGGGGGGGTGGAGTGCACTCCTTCAAGAGCTGGCCGCATCACAATACCTCCTGTTTCACAAGGGGGTCCTAGTCGGTGTACAAGGCACCCGCGGTGATTTAGAACAACCCCCAGATTCTAAACCCGATGGGAACTCATACCACATGCTACCCTTACAACCCTCAATTCTAAACAGCACAAATCCTAAACTACTATTTGCTTAAGAACGAAAAACAGTAAAAGAACAGAGTCCCTATATTACCCTTATAAGCAAGAATATTATATTTTGTTCTTTGGCAAATAGCAGTCAATGCTGTGAAGTTCTTGTAGCCCCCTCCCCCCCCTCGCACACACCTAGACTTAAAGACTTCCCATCCCTCCCCTCTGCCACCAGGTTGCGGCATTGGCGGGTCGTCCAGGAGCCAAGAGAATGACGCAACGGGCTTCAGGTGTAGGGTTTAGGGTTCGAGGCGTCCAGTACATGGACTTCATGGATAATTACATGCCCAAAACCTAAAACCCTGCCTAAACCCTACATGGAGCTTTAGTGTAGGTTACCTTACCTTACATCTCAGGGATCAGAGCACCCAGGGATGAACGTTAAAACCCCAAACCCCAAGCCCCAAACCCCAAAACCCAAACCCCAAACCCCAAACCCCAGACCCCAGACCCCAGACCCCAAACCCCAAACCCCAAACCCCAAACCCCAACCCCAAACCCTAACCCCTAAACCCTAAACCCCAAACCCCGAAACCCTAAGTCCTGAACCTAAACCCTGAACCCCAACCTTCGGCGAGGATCTTAGCCAAGCGCTTCCCAGATGCCGAGGTGGGGTTGATCAGCTGCGCGGGGGGCATTTTGGGGGTTTAGGGTTTAGGGTTTAGGTTTTTGGCCTTAGGGTTAAGGGTTAAGGGTTAAGGTTTGGGGTTTGGGGTCTGGGGCTTGGGGTTTAGGATTTGCTTAAGGTCGTGTCCCAGAAGCCCTCTGGGCCCAAAACCCCTCCCGCCCAAAGCCCCTAAAGCCCAAGAGCCCTGAGCATTTTGAAACAAACTTTAACGACCCTTAAACAACAAAGGCGTCCTGGAAAACCCGAAGCCCCAATGGCCTGACCCCCTGAAACCCCAAACCTAAAACGCCTTAAGCCCCCCAACGCCCCTGAAAGCCTGAACCCTGAACCCTAAACCCTAACCCCCAAACCCCTAACCCTAAACCCTAACCCCAAACCCTAAACCCTAAACCCTAAACCCCAAACCCTAAACCCCAAACCCCCAAACCCTAAACCCTCAGAACCCTGCGGGCCAGGCTTCGGAGTGAGGATGTAGAACTTGAGTTTAGGGTTTAGGGTTTAGGGTTTAGGGTTAAGGGTTAAGGGTTTAGGGTTTAGGGTTTAGGGTTTAGGGCGTAGGGTTTAGGGTTGTAGGGTGTAGGGTTCAGAGTTCAGGGTTCTAGGGTTCTAGGGTTTTAGGGTTTTAGGGGTATCGGGTTCTAGGGTTTAGGGTTTAGTTTTAGGGTTTAGGGTTGAGGGTTAGGGTTAGCTTTCAGGGCCTTCTGCAGCAGGCTCCCGAACAGCCAGAGTGCCATATCTCGCCCTGAACCGAAAGTCTCAGAATTCACTTTTGGCCCGGAAAACCTAAACCCTAAACCCTAGACCCTCAACCCTAGACCCTAGACCCTAAACCCTAAACCCTAGAGTTTCTAAACCTCCTTGAGCTTCTTAAACGCTTCTTGAGGAGGATCTGAGAGGAGTTAGGTAATGTTTTACAGTAGCACTAGGTGTAATCGAGCCTGAAGTCCCTGCTCTTGAGAGTCTGCTGATTCTGCATATATATATATATATATGAAGGAGTTGAAAGGGTTCAAGACCTCCCTGAGAGAGTGCAGAATTTCCTTCATTTTCTTTTTATATGAAGGGGGTTGAGAAAATTCAAAATTTTCCTCAACTTCTGGAAAGCTTCTTGAGGAGGATTTTTTCTGCCGATAAGTCCCTTGCAAGAGCTGCGTGGAATATCAAGATGCATCCGCTTTGGTATATAGAGCTTTCGGCTTCCAGTCCTTCTGCTTAGCTAGCTCATTACCTTTGGAGCTGAAAGCCCACCACATGCCAAGGCTTGAATAGATGGGCGTGATCAATATGCAAAACAATTAAATTGGTTTCCTGCAGCAGGCAAGTCATCCTCAAAGACCAGCCGATCAAGGCGAAGGCAAATTGAAGCACCCAAGCATGTCAGTCAAGATGCATCATCATGAGAGCTCCTGTGCCAGGTCAAAAATGACATCCACCTACTTCACGTGGAGTTGTATGCATCAACCGTCAAGCCGTGGCACCATCTCAAGAGCGCCAGACCCTCAGAAAAATACATGAATACATTCTGACAGCTGCGCACAACAGCCCTTACGACCAGGTTTACAATCGAACGCCAATCCATGAAGCATGCCATAGAGATCACCTTCGTCAATGTTTGGTTTCCAGCGCCAAGACAAACATCATCACCATTCTTTTATCAAGTGGGTCTGTTTCGGAAACCTGAGGGAGATACGGCGTGCAGCCAAAATTATGAACAAGATTCCGTGCACCACTCAGCGAGATTCAGAACAGCTTCCGCAAACGTTGCCCCCCCCCCCCGTCTCAATTCTCTCAAATCTCTCAGGTCGTCCAGAACCTGGGACGACTTGGCCACGTGCAGCTAGCCATCCAAACACCGCAGCAGTGTATGCGTGAAAAGAAAGGAGATTCAGCTGCCCACATGCACTCTACTTTAACAACTAATCCCATAATCGGTCGAAGGCCCTCTTGAAAGCCTCTGGAGGACGTATTCAAAAAGCTCGTTTTCTTGCGACCTATAGGAAGGTGATTGAAGGGTTTCTAAACCTCCTTGAGCTTCTTAAACGCTTCTTGAGGAGGATCTGAGAGGAGTTAGGTAATGTTTTACAGTAGCACTAGGTGTAATCGAGCCTGAAGTCCCTGCTCTTGAGAGTCTGCTGATTCTGCATATATATATATATATATGAAGGAGTTGAAAGGGTTCAAGACCTCCCTGAGAGAGTGCAGAATTTCCTTCATTTTCTTTTTATATGAAGGGGGTTGAGAAAATTCAAAATTTCCTCAACTTCTGGAAAGCTTCTTGAGGAGGATTTTTTCTGCCGATAAGTCCCTTGCAAGAGCTGCGTGGAATATCAAGATGCATCCGCTTTGGTATATAGAGCTTTCGGCTTCCAGTCCTTCTGCTTAGCTAGCTCATTACCTTTGGAGCTGAAAGCCCACCACATGCCAAGGCTTGAATAGATGGGCGTGATCAATATGCAAAACAACTAAATTTACCTTGTTTCCTGCAGCATGCAAGTCATCCTCAAAGATCAGCCGATCAAGGCGAAGGCAAATTGAAGCACCCAAGTATGTCAGTCAAGATGCATCATCATGAGAGCTAACTCCTGTGCCAGGTCAAAAATGACATCCACCTACTTCACGTGGAGTTGTTTGCATCAACCGTCAAGCCGTGGCACCATCTCAAGAGCGCCAGACCCTCAGAAAAATACATGAATACATCCTGACAGCTGCGCACAACAGCCCTTACGACCAGATTTACAATCGAACGCCAATCCATGAAGCATGCCATAGAGGTCACCTTCGTCAATGTTTGGAGTCTAGCGCCAAGACAAACATCATCACCATTCTTTTATCAAGTGATCTGTTTCGGAAACCTGAGAGAGATACGGCGTGCAGCCAAAATTATGAACAAGATTCCGTGCACCACTCAGCGAGATTCGGAACAGCTTCCGCAAACGTTCCGCCCCCCTCTCAATTCTTTCAAATCTCTCAGGTCGTCCATAACCTGGGACGACTTGGCCACGTGCAGCTAGCCATCCAAACACCGCAGCAATGTGTACGCGAAAAGAAAGGAGATTCAGCTGCCCACATGCACTCTACTTTAACAACTAATCCCTTAATCGGTCGGAGGCCCTCTTGAAAGCCTCTGGAGGACCTATTCAAAAAGCTCGTTTTCTTGCGACCTATAGGAAGGTGATTGAAGGGTTTCTAAACCTCCTTGAGCTTCTTAAACGCTTCTTGAGGAGGATCTGAGAGGAGTTAGGTAGGAATGAAGAAGGATTGAAATCAGAGAATTTGTATATATGGGCATATTCATCGTGTTTCAGCCAGGAATATCTGATGTCAATATACTTATTTGTGATATTTGTGATTTTTCGGAACATCTAATAAAAAAGTCTGCGCCCCCAGTATATTACAGAATTGATGTCTATTCATATGAACCTCAAATTTCTATGAAATACAAGTGAAGAACGAGCCATGAAATCGAAGAATCTAAATCTGCAAATAAAATACTTCAATCTCAGAATTTCTCCATCCAAGCAGGACAAACGAATAGAATATGCACCCCCACCCGCCCACCCCCACTCCGTCCCCCACCCGACCCCACCAGCCCCCCACCCCCGACCCCCCCCCCACCCCCCACCCCCCTCCCCTCCCCCACCCAACCCGTTCCAGGAAGGGTTGCCAAAATAGGGGGGCGCAGAGAAGGATGCCTTCCCAACCACCAACACCAGCGCACACCCCCCCCGCAACCTCCTTTAGGCACCCCGAGAGCTCCAGGCTTCACCTGCTCCCGTCGTGGCCCCTGAAGGCCAGCAAGGAACCAGCTGATGCCAATGATGCTCCCGTGGTGGCGCCTTGCAGGCCAGCAAGGAACCAGCTGATGCCGATGATGCTCCTGTCATGGCCCCCTGAAGGCTAAACCCTAGACTCTAAAGCCTAAACCCTAAACCCTAAAGAAAGTTAAACCCCACAAGCACCTAGATTCGATGCTAAGTTTTCTGCGACACATTCTGCGCTGAAGTAGTAGCGGTTGTAGCATCGAGGTCCTTGGCATCACGCTGTCCCCGCAGCAGGCGTGGGCGTGGCTAGGGCTTAGACCCCAAACCCGAATCGCAGCCCCTGAAGCCGCTGGGCCTTGAAAGAAAGGTTTCACAAGTCAAACCAAAACCTCAAAAAAACCCAAAACCTCAACAAAGCCCTACAGGGCCTCCGAATCATTCTGACTGAACCACTAGGTCGCTAGAGCAAGGCCCCGCAGCCTTGAAGGTCTCTAAAATTCAACCCTAAACCCGAACCCCGGTTTGGCCCTCCAGACTTTTGGTTTGGTTGTGGAGTTCCGAATCTAGGGCTCAAGAGCACCACGGGAGAGGGTTTCCAGGTGGATGATCGTGTAGTTTAGGGTTTGGGGTTTAGGGTTTAGGGTTTAGGGTTTAGGGTAGGTTTCCTTACAGGAGTTCTGGTGGGTGGCAACGTGCCCCAGCTCCTGTCTGTTCTCCCACTTAGAGTTTAGAGGTTAGGGCCGCCTGAACCCTAAACCCTAAACCCAAAACCCTAAACCCTAAACCCTAAACCCTAAACTTGAGACTCGACGTAGATGATCTTTTTCAACCCACGACGCCCCTCAAGCACGAGACATTCGAAGCCCGAAGCCTGAAGCCTGGAGCTTGCAGCTCTAAAGCCTTTTAGGGTTTAGGGTTTAGGGTTTAGGGTTTAGGGTTTAGGGTTCTAGACTCCGAAATCCCAACCCAGAGCCTGGCATACCAAAGGCGGAGCGCGCGGGCAAGCTCGCCAAGGAGCAGGGCCTCACCAACGTCCGATTCCAGGCAGCTGTCAGGGTCTATGGATAGGGCATCTGTTCGGAGGTGGCTCTTGTCAGCAGTTCCTGTGGGGAACCATCTCGAGGCGAGGGATGTCGAGTCGGGGTGTGGTGTTTGGGATTCAGGGTTCAACGTTTGGGGCGCCTCAGGGTATAGAAGCCCCAAAGGGCCATGCAGCACAGGTCATGGACGCGCTGAACATGGAGCGAAGCACTCAGAACCTGGATCAAGCCCTAAGCCCTCAACCCTAAGCCCTAAGCCCCAAGCCCTAAGCCGTAACCCTAGACCCTAACCCTAAACCCTAAACCCTAAACCCTAAACCCTAAACCCTAAACCCTAAACCCTAAACCCTAAACCCTAAACCCTAAACCCTAAACCCTAAACCCTAAACCCTAAACCCTAAGCCCGAAACCCTGAACCCGAAGCGGAGGTTTTAACAAGGGCTGTGGAGGAGCCGATGACCCCGACACATCCTCAACCCGAGTTTTGCCTAGCCCTCTACCTGCTGAGATGGCCAGAATACATACCTAGGACCCGGAGTAGGCCCTTAGTTCCTTTTTAGGGTTTAGGGTTTAGGGTTTAGGGTTTAGGGTTTAGGGCTTAGGGTTTAGGGTTTAGGGTTTAGGGTTTAGGGATACAGGCGACCAAAGAAGCGACGAAGCCAGCAGGTGGTCTCTGCTACCTCTTTGAATTCGCGGACCCTGACCCCTAAACCCTAAAACCCTAAAACCCTAAAACCCTAAAACCCTAAAACCCTAAAACCCTAAAACCCTAAAACCCTAAAACCCTAAAACCCTAAAACCCTAAAACCCTAAAAAAACCCTAAAACCCTAAAAACCCAAAACCCTAAAAACCCTAAAAAAACCCTAAAAAACCCTAAAAAACCCTAAAACCCTAAAACCCTAAACCCTAAAACCCTAAACCCTAAAACCCTTAAACCCTTAAACCCTTAAACCCTTAAACCCTTAAACCCTTAAACCCTTAAACCCTTAAACCCTTAAACCCTTAAACCCTTAAACCCTTAAACCCTTAAACCCTTAAACCCTAAAACCCTTAAACCCTAACGCCCTAAAACCCTAAAGCCCCTAAAACTCCCTAAACCCGTGCATTCGAGTTGAACGTCGGGATTTCTGCGGCAGAGCGAGCGGCATCTCATGCGGAGGGACTTCGGCTTAGCAAATGGTTGCACACCAGGCTTCGGGACAGCTGGTCCGGCGGACCTAAATTTAAAAACCCTAAACCCCTAAACCCCTAAACCCCTAAACTCCAGACCCTAGACCCCTAGACCCCTAGACCCTAGACCCTAAACCCTGAACCCTGAACCCTGAACCATGAACCCTGAACCCTTAGCAAGGGTGCAGGGTTCGGGGTTTTCCCGTGAACCTCCCTGAGGTTCGAAGATAACACCTTCGACATGGTCTGGGCGTGTGAGTCGGGCGAGCACATGCCAGACAAGAAGAGGCGCGACCTTGTGGAGTTTTGGGGTTTAGGGTTTGGGGTTTAGGGTTTGGGGTTTAGGGTTTCGGGGTTAGGGTGTGGGTTAAGGCTGATTTCACGCTTCAAAAGGCTTTTGGGGTTGGGGGTTTAGCAAAGGCAACGGGCGCGGCTCCCTCTGCATCCCAAGAGGCTCTCGAAGCAACCCCGACGATTGCCGGGGTGCAGGAGGAGGTCTGGGTGCTGCTTTCCATCAACGGGTGCATCCACCAAGGGCTCGGATGCAACGCGTTGGTAGGATTGCTTCTACAGGAAGCACCGTGCCACGTACGGGTCTCCGATGCTAGAGAGATGGCGACCTAGCAGCGCAGTTAGTGGAGACCGCTGCAGCAGAAGTGCCGACCACGCGCCGGGTCCCTGTCTGACCTTATCGTCGAGGACCTGACGTGGAACCACCCAGCAGCGTCACGCCACCTTGGCCAACCCTTCCAGCACCACCGAGCTGTTGCTTACCCTAAACCCGAAACTCCCTAAACCGAAGAATGAAAGGGTCGAAACAATCAGCGATCTTAGGGCCTCACAACCCTCCAAACCCTATGGCCTACGGTGCTAAACCTTTAGGGTTTAGGGTTCAGGGTTAGGGAGCGAAGTGTGCTTGTGTGGCGGTCTAGAACTATCTGGGACTAACCTCGTGGCTCTGAACCCCGAGCCCCAATTCCTAAACCGATCCGAAACACGAAGCCCTAACCCCCTCTAGCCGCAATGCAAAAGTTCTAGAGCCCATAAGCTGAGCGAGACCGAAAAGACATGCTCACTAAACCCTAAACCTTAAACCTTAAACCCTAAACCCTAAACCCTAAACCTTAAACCTTAAACCTTAAACCTTAAGCCTTAAACCTTAACCCTTCAACCTTAAACCCTAAACCTTAAACCTTAAACCCTAAACCCAAACCCAAACCCTGAACCCCGATGGCAGGTACGTCGAGGAGATGTCCCGAGTCCTCGCGCCCAAGGGTGCCTCCATTCGCGATTTTGGGCTTCCGGTTTTTCAGGTTTCGGGTTTTGGGGTTTGGGGGGTTTAGGGTTTTAGGGTTTTAGGGTTTTAGGGTTTTAGGGTTTTAGGGTTTTAGGGTTTTAGGGTTTTAGGGTTTTAGGGTTTAGGGTTTAGGGGGGTCCCTTGGGGTTTTGGGGGGGTTCGGGTTTGGGGTTTCAGGGTTTTGGGGTTCTAGGGTTTTAGGAATTTCAGGTTTCGAGTTCGGGGTTTGTTTTCTCAGGTTTCGGGTTCAGGGTTTGGGGAGTTTAGGGTTTGGGGGTTTTAGGGTTTTAGGGTTTAGGGGGTAGCTTGAGTTGTGAGGTTGGGGCTCCGTCTTGATGGTTGGCAGTTGCGACTGGGGTTCAGGGTTTAGAGTTTAGGGTTCAAGGTTACATGCTGACTGGCTTCGGCACCCGGCAAGCACATCAGACCCTAAACCCTAAACCCTAACCCTAAACCCTAAACCCTAAACCCTAAACCCTAAACCCTAAACCCTAAACCCTAAACCCTAAACCCTAAACCCTAAACCCTAAACCCTAAACCCTATGCGGAGCTGCAGCTGGTATTGTAGAAAAGGTTAGTGTTGGGAGTTGGAAGGGTTAACAAACCCGGAAATCTTGTTTGGCTCAAGGATGGCCAGAAGTACTAAGGCCACAAGCTCAAAAAAGGTAGAGCCCGCGTGGTGGGTTGGGGTTGGTTCCTAGGTGCTTAGGCATAGGCCCCCTTTACTCCCTTCCCTGGTTCTCCTGGTCCGTGTTCTGTGTTTGTTGTGCTGGTCGATCTGGGGAATATAAGTTCAGGGCGGTCTTTGGGGTTGATCCCTCTCCCCCTTTGGTTGCCCCCCGTAGGTTATGAGCCCAAATTAGGTTCCCTGCGGTTAAGTGTTCTTTCAAGGTTTTTGGGATCAAGAAGCAATGCCTTCTCCCAAACGATGGCTCCAGCCTTCCTCGGATGGTGGACAGAATGGTGGAGCTGGAAATGGTGCAGCTGAGTCTCTGGGTGAAAGGACGGTGCTGGAAGAGGTGATGCCTGGCGCTGAAGAACATCTGGAAGAAGCCTTGGTTGCAGAAGACTCCAATGTGGGTATGAATCCCAATGTGGATATGGTTAGCAATGCTGAAGCTGAAGGACGTGCTGTTTCTGTATCGCCAAAGCCTGGTGAAAAAAGGAGCTGGGACGCGACTGGTGGTATAGACCGTGAAATGGAGGTGACTGTTTTACGCGTGTTGCACAAACATGGGTATCAGCCGTCTACTTCGACTTCGGGCCGAATGGTAGACCAAGGGTCTCAGACCAATCTGAGTGGAGAAGTGCTGCAAGCTGCCAGGAGGCCTCTGAACAAGATTAAAGGGGATCCCTCGGCGAGTTCCCTGGGTGGTGGAAGCGGTTACGAACAGAAGGGTGCGGACAGTTTTGAAGCTGCACCAACTGCTGAATACGCCATGGGGGAAGAGGAGATCTTACAGATGGAGGCTGAAAGGTTGCGCCAGTTGTCAGAAGAAGAGGATGAGATGCATCAAGTCTCTGAAAGGGATGGTTTTCGGAAAGATGAGCATCTGATCAAAGCGTGCGATGGGACAACGTGGGAATGGCACTTCCACGAAGATGGGAGACAATATTACTACTGCCTGGATACGCAGGAAAGCAAGTGGACGCTGCCGGATGTAGGTGAAAAGGTGAAAAGCGACAACGTGGTTGGGTCTCCTTCGGGCAATGGGCTGGAAGTGGAGACTGAACTGGGTCCTTTATCGACTACACCGACACCTGAGTCTACGAAGGCATTCCAGGGTAGTGTAAATAGTGTAGGTGAAAAAGATTTTTCCTCTACTATCAGGGATAGCGGTCCTAGGGCTGGTGGTGACGCCCCGACCTCGGGTTCTCCTGATGAAGAGGGGATTTCTGGAAACCGAGCAGACATCGCTGAAGCTCAACATCTGGATCGGGAAGAGATGGAGGCGCTTTCTGAGGGTGTGGCAGCGGTGGAATCGGTGGGTCCAGAAGAAAAAATGCCCAATGTGGAGATCGGAATTGTGTCGGCTCAAGAAGAGCGAGTGGTGGATGTGGTACCTGTCGTTCAGGAAGATGGTCCTGGAGATTTGGATGACGGAGGGAAAAAGTCGTGCGTTACGCCTGAGGAGGTCTCTTCGGTTGGTGCCAATGATTCTGCCATTCAAGGGAAAAAGGAAACTTCTGAAACTGCTGGAGACACGGTTGATCGGAAAGATGAGGCCTGGAGCGCCAATGAAGCGCGGGTCAACGTGCCAGATAGTACCTGGAGTGCAGAAAAAGCACGGGTTGAGGCGCATGTGGTGTCACGTTCCGCGGATGACTGCAACAATGGGGCGCAGGTCTCCGTAGCAGCTGACGATGGAGGTTCACAGGTGGACGCACTGGTGCAGCCTGAAGTTAGCAGCGAGGAACGAAATGGCAAAGGCTACACCGGAGCCAATGAGGCAGCTGTGGTCAGCAACAGTGGTGATTCTCTTTTGGAAACCATGGAGCCAAAGGAGCCTGCGGTGGAAGAAAATGTGCCTGCCGCGGATGACCAATCCAATAGCCCTGTAGTGGAAGAAAATTTGCCTGCTGCAGAAGGTTTGAAAAAGGACTCCAATGGTGGGCCCACTCCCAGGAAGGGAGAAGTGTTGCCATCTGAAAGCTCGCCGGAAGTCGACACCGAGCGAACTGTAACGGATGAGGCAAAGCCATTGGCTGAAAAAAGGAAGGTCCTGAGCCCCTGGAGCACAGGATGGATGATCGTGTGGGACTCACGTCGGAGCAGGACGAGCAGTGTGACCCAAAGGTGGAAACAAAGGATGTGCCAGGAGCCGATGATACAGAGATGGTTTCTGAAGAGCATGCAAAGAAAGTGCCCCGAGCGGGAGCCTTGGAATCACCTGGGGAACATTGCTATCAAGAGGGAGATGAGATCATTGGTCTAGTGCGCTGCATCAATGGGTATGGAGCCTTTTTGGACCATGGAGATATGAATGTATTGATTCCTGCAGAAGGGAACAACGTACATCAGTTCAAATTTGGTGATACTGTCAATGGAACAGTGAAACGAGTGGAAGATGATGGTACCATAATCTTGGACACCTTTCTGGTTTTGGAAGAGGACGAGGAGGACTCCTCTTCGACGCTGCGCAAATGGAAAGACAGCGGCTGGGGTACATGGTGGACAGGCTCATGGCAGACTGGTCAATGGTACCAAGGTTCCAACGGTCAATGGGACTGGAAGTCGGAGGAACGGCAGTCTCGCGAGTGGTTTGCCGATTCAAAAACATCCTCTAAGGAACAAGAGGAGGCCGAGCAGAAGCAGCTCTATGGAGAAAAGATCTATCGAAATCTCCTGGAAGATGAAACAATAGATAATGACTATGTGGGCAAAATCACTGGGATGTTGCTGAGTCGTCCAATGGACGTGATTATGGAGTGTGTCGCAGATCATACATTCCTGAACGTTGAGGCTCGGAGCGCATACAGCATCTTGCAAAGTGATGGTTGGAAGCCCGAGGGGACAGAACGTGCAGGTTTGGAAAAAACAATCACTTTTTCCCGGAAGCAGTACCACAACGCGCTCTACGAACTGGCACGCAAGAAAAGGAGATTTAGTGGACCAGTCGTGGGTGAAACGGTGGCAATGTTGCTGAGCAAAGGGAAAGATGAGCTTTGGAACGAGCTGTGGTTGGATACCAAGCGATTTCTGCAAGAGCTTGATGGTGCAATCGAGGAGATGAGCAAGAGGGAAAACAGGCCAATGGAAGCCTATATGGATCCTGATCAGTACAAAAAGGCTCACATGACTCCAAAGACTGTGTCACCTGGATACAGCAAGCTGTGCAAGTTCTTCAATCTAGGGAGGTGTCGCAATGGAGATGGGTGTTCCTATGAACATCGTCGTTATGGTGAAGGGTGGCCTGAAGGAGAGCCAACTGAGCCAAGGAACAGCCAAAAAACTGGTGACGAGGATGGGGACATCGGTGGCCCTCCAACTGATGAAGGTGCAGTGGATGAGGTGCAGCAGGAGCGGGAGGATTCGGCCTTCCGTGCCCAGTACAACTATGGCAAAGGGACATCAAAAGGTGAGCCTACGTTGGGTGAAACGAAGAAACGGCTGTGTCTGTATTACAATCAAGGTGGTTGTAAATATGGGACTGCATGCAGGTATCTTCACGACGATGACATGGCATTGGAAGGGACTTGGGAGCCTGGCAAATCTTGGGACAATGCTTCCAGGAAGGCACTAAGGGACGCGGGGTTCCACCATTGCTGTTTCGACTACTATCTCAAAGGGAGATGTCGTGTGCGATTTGGCTGCAAGTATTCTCACGAAGAAATGTCTGAAGACCGGCTGGCCCAATTGAAGCATCTGGTGAATGTGGCGAACCATGTGTCATTTCAAAGGGGAAGAGGATTGGAGATTCCCGACAGGAACGCCTTTCAACCACCGGTAAGTGGGGGAGCAGAATCTTCGTCCTCCTCGGCACCAAAAGCGCTGCAAATGACCAATGTGTCACAAAAAGAAGGTGAAAAGGGTAATCTGGATGAAGCGGAAGATGATGAACAAAAGAATTCGGTGGCTGAGTCCACTGGTACTCTGCTTCAAAATCCAGAGGAGCCAATTGAAAATTGGATGGCTCGCAACGAACACCTTTGGGTGTATACCCCTCATGTAAGTGAGGTGATGATTACGCTTGGTGTGACCAACGTGTCCGACTTGCAAGAGTTCATCTTTGTGGAAGATTTGGTTGACAAAGGGATCAACAAAGTGACTGCATGTAAAATCTTGCAATTGGTGGGTGGTGTCCGATATCGTCCGGGAGGACCGGAAAAAGCAGTTCCTTCCGATGCATCTGTACGGGTACAACAATCTTCTGGAAGCAAGGAAGTTGGAAGAGCGGCGGTGCGAACCCTCACTCAGATGCGTGAAGCTGAAGGCTCCGGTGCAAAAACAATGCCGAGAGGCTCCTATCGGGAGCTT